GCCCATAAATTGACTTTTGAAGCTTGCAAACGAGATTGCCAGAAGAAGAAAATCCAGGGGGAGGATCCATGTAAACCTCCTCATTGAGGTCTCCATGTAGAAAAGCATTATCCACATCTAATTGTTCAAGGAACCATCCCTTGGCAGAAGCTATGGTAAGTAGTGTGCGTACAGAAGTGAGCTTAGCAACTGGGGAGAAGGTATCAAAATAATCCACTCCCTCTTGCTGTGTGAAACCTTTGGCAACTAATCTTGCTTTGTACCTTTCGATTGATCCATTGGACTGGTACTTAATCTTGTAAACCCACTTGGAACCAATTGTTTGCTTTCCAGGAGGAAGTGGCACCATCACCCAAGTGTTGTTCAATTTTAGAGCATGCAGTTCTTTGTCCATGGCTTGCTGCCAGTGTGTGAACTTGGCAGCTTGTATATATGTGCGTGGCTCAATATGAGATGAGGAGTTTAAACAGAAATGATGATATGAAGGAGTACAAGAGTTATAGGAAACAAAATTTGATAAGGGATACCTGGTGGGAAAAATAAAATCACTTGGAGTACTCTTGGTAGCTGTGGAGAGCCCAACATGATAATCAACAAGGTAACTTGGAGGCAATCGAATACGTGTGGAGCGGCGAAGATTGTCATTTCTTGATTTTGATGGTGTGTCATGTGCTGAAGATGATGGCTGTGAGGTGTCATGAGTTAAGGATGGTGGCTGTGAGGTGTCATGGTCTAAGGGTAATGGGTCAGGGTGCGTGGCAGTAGTAGGAAGTGGAGTGGAATTGGTTGTGGCAAGTGGAATTGATGGTGGGACTTGAGTATCTGTGGGAGTAGAGGAAAGATGGACATCTGGCATATTTGAGGGAGAGTAAGAAGGATGAGGTGGCTGTGTGTAGGGATGGAAAAAGGCATAAGGGGAAGTGGTCTGATCAATTGAATCAGAAAAAGTGGAGGATGGGGTGTTTGAAATAATTGTTGGTTGGAATGGGAAATGTGATTCATAAAACACTACATTTCTGGAGATGAAAATTTCCCTAGAGGTTAAATCATATAGGAGATACCCTTTTGTTCCTTCTTTGAAGCCCAAAAATACAGCTTTACGAGCTCGAGGAGTGAATTTGGTGCGATGAGCTAGCAATGTTGAAGCATAGCATAAACAGCCAAAAACTCGGAGATGTACCAGTAAAGGAGGAGTACCATACAACCTGTGATATGGTGTTTGATTGTCCAGAAGAGGTGTGCATAACATATTGATAATTCGTGCAGCATGCAAAATGGCATAACTCCAAAATGAAAGTGGCATGTGAGCTTGGAATATGAAAGCACGAGCTACATTTAACAAATGCTGATGCTTGCGTTCAACTAATCCATTCTGTTATGGAGTCTCAACACAACTGGTTTGATGGAAAATTCCCTTTTTCTTGTAAAACTCATGCATAGTAAATTCTGTTCCATTGTCACTGCGGATTGATTTAATGGAAGTGTTGAATTGTGTTTCAACAAAAGCAACAAAATCATGAATGTGCTGTCGAGTTTCACTCTTGCTTTTCATAAGAAATATCCATGTAAACCGTGAGTAATCATCCACTATAGTAAGAAAGAAACGATGACCATGTATTGATATAGTAGAAAATGGGCCCCAAATGTCAGTATGATCCAAATCAAACACCTTACTGGTTTTAGATTCACTAGTACTAAAAGGAAGTTTGCGTTGCTTTGCTAAATGACATGTATCACACGGGGTTACATGTGTGGAAGGAATAAAAGGGAAATACAAAGACATATGATGCAGTACATCCTTTGACAAGTGTCCCAATCTTCTATGCCATAGGACAGGATCAGCTGCAGTACTTGTGATAGCTCCACATCTTTTATCCACTTTACTGGTATGTTGAGCCTCTTTATTGATTATCATGTATAAGCCATTTCTCCTTTCAGCTGTACCAATCGTCCTCAGTGATGGCAGCTGTTTGATAATACAAAATGCAGAATCAAAGGTGAATGAGTAATTACAAGTTGTAACAAGTTTTGATACAGATATTAAGTTGACATGAAATTGTGGAATGTAAAGAACATCATGAAGGGTCAAAGTGGGTGTCAAACTAATGGTGCCTGAAAAATGAGCAGAAATATTGGAACCACTTGGAAGAATCACGGATAAAGGAGTGATGGCATGAATTGAGGAAAAATCAGAAATGGAATGTGAAATATGATCAGTAGCACCTGTATCTACAATCCATTGAGTATTTGAGCTACCTGATTGTTCCTTTCCTTCTACTGTGTTTATGCTGGAAATTTGAGCAACATTGCTTACACTTGCTGTCACAGGTACATTAGCAAGACTAGTCGAAGAAGTCTTTTGAAGGAGCTCCATTAGTTGTTGGTACTCATTTTTGGTCATGTGCATATAAGGTTCTGACCTTGAGGCAATTGAAGTTTCTTCATGAAAGTTATGGGGATCTGTACTCGCAACATTGGTACTTGGAATTCTATTGTTTGTCCGGTAACCTGGTGGAAATCCATGCAGTTGATAACATGTTTCAACTGTGTGGTTACTTCTGCCACAGTGAGTGCATATGCGGTTGGTTTGAGATCTTCCACCAAAGTTCCTGCCATCAAAGTTACTGCCTCGTCCTCTACCACTAAATCTGCCACCATAACTAGAAGGTCCTCTGCCAGTAAATCTGCCACCATAACTAGAAGGTCCTCTACCAGCAAATCTGCCACCATTATTGGCAGGTGTATTTGTAACATTAAAAACTGATGACTGACTCGCATCAGTGACATGATTATCCAATTTTAATTGTCTTTCTTGTTGAGATACAAGTGAGAATGTTTTATTTATATTTGGCAATGGACTTATTAACATAATTTGAGATCGTACAGGAGCAAAGTGATCATTCAAACCTCTTAAAAATCGAATAACCTGCTCCTGCTCACGATACTCTCTCATCCTTGTGATTGCACCACATACACAAGGAACAACACAGATACAATTAGGAAGAGGTTTAAGGTTGTCTAATTCATCCCATACCGTCTTGAGATGCGTGTAGTAATCAGCTACAGATCTATCTCCTTGATTCAGACGAAAAGCTTCTTCTAACAAATCTGATATTCGAAAGACATCTCCCTGAGAAAATCGTTCTTGTAGATCTATCCAAGCATCACGAGCATGTTCTATCCATATGATTGATTTCACTATGGATTCAGATATGGATCTCTGAATCCATGCCATCACCATTGTATCACATCGCTGCCAAGCTGCAAAAGTAAGCTCATCTTGATTCGGTGCAGGAATTACACATTCTATATATTACATAACCAAGCTTAAAGACTAAGTAACAAACTCTAACTGAATAACAGAATCAGTTATTCCTATCTCTATCGTGATTGGTTCCACGTGGCTTTCTTGTGTGTTGAAGTGGGAAGTTGTCTTGATTTTGATGGTTTGGGCCTGGATCAATCTGTCTTACATTTGGGCCTGAGTTTGATGAACATGACTCAGGTAAGAGTGTGTGAGGTGAGTACACTGGTTAAAATGAGAGGAGTAAATTGTACTCGATGAAATTCTTGAATTTAAAAAAATATTTTAAGGGGGCATTTGTTATGCGAATTTTTTTTGGTTACATGGAAAAGTAAACTTGGGAAAAAATTGTATGTCACGTTTGATATAAAAAAAAGGGAAGTTTTTCGGATAAAAATATTTTTCATTTTTTGGGTTTGTTTGTAAAGCTACGTATGGCAATATCAACTTTTTGCACATCCAATATGTGGAATACTTTTTAGCTCGAGGATGTGAAAAAGGAACCACAAATGAGATGATCAAAATAACCTTGTGTGATTGTATGATGTGTGAAGATATGGAGTTGTGGTGAAGTGACCTCGTGGGGTTATTTTCGTAAAGTAACCTTACTTTCTCATTAATATTTAACAATCAACCAAACACATACTTAGTAAATTTAACCACCAAATTTTCAAGAAAATTTGGTCATACCAAACACCTTTTTACTAACGTTTCAGTAAAAATATATTTTTCACTATATTCTAGTAATAATTATTTTTCTGATAAATACTTTTTTTTTTTACCAAATAGCGAAGGAAATAACTCATTGTATAGGCAGGCTCATTGAAATAGGCCAATGTGACCGGAACACATTCCCTTCGTGACACTTTCATCTCTGTTTGGTTTGGACTAGGAAAAAGAAAGAAAGACGAGAGAGGAATTTTTAATTTGAAATTAAGAAAAAATTGAAGATAATTTTTTCTTTCTTTCTAAAATCTCCTTTCTTCGCTACCTTTTTATTCATATGTTCTTGTTCGAATAAGAAAAAAATTCCAGTTTTTAAAATTCCTCTTCCGTTTATTTTATTTTTTCTTTCGGTCCAAGTGGGGGACAGAGAAATGTTTTTAAGATAATGTGTATGTATGATAAACAAAGAAAAATTATATTTAAATGATATGCCTTTCCCTAAATGATATATTTTCCTTAAAACTTATATATATATATAAAATAAATGGGATAGAAAGACTTTTAAATCTGACTCATGCTACATTGCTACATAAGAGTTTCACCATTATGGTGAGACTGCTTTAGGCTAATTTAAATATGTAATAGTATTTATAAATAGTATACTAATAAAAAGTAGAGTGGGGATATTCTAACTACCAAAAATTTTCATTACTAACTTACTACCCATCACATTACCATTGGATTAAAGAGAGAGAATGTTAAAAAAAATTTGAAGAGAGAGAAAATATTAATCTAATGATGATTAGATAGGTAGTAAATTGGTAGTGGAAAATTTTGGTAACGAGAATATTCCTTCTCTAAAAGTATATGCAATTCCAAAATATTATTAAGTAGTTTGATTTTTTTTTTTTTGAATACAAATTAAGTAGTTTGATTTTGATAGGCACGTGGTTTACTTTCTCTCTCTCTTTTTGGAGTGAAAAGCAGTTATGGGCCGGGTCTATTTGTTAGCCTGAAAGTGGATCCATGACCCGACTTGAGTCTCCGTAATAAAAGGTGAAGTAGCTCCCTCAGAAACCCTAGCTTCTTCTCTCCCACCGCACTCTCTGAGTCTCTGGTGTTAGGGTTTCCGAAGCCACGAGCACGAGAGGTAAAGTCTCTTCCTTTCGATTTTCTTCTTACGATTCACTTCACTCAGATCAATGATTTCGTTTTGATTGTTCTTCATGGCTTCTTGTTATGTAAACCATAAACAACTCTGAAATGAAAGTGTGTTTTTGTTTTGGGACAGGGCAATGGCTCCTAAACAGCCTAGTACTGGTCTTTTTGTTGGATTGAACAAGGGTCACGTTGTGACCAAGAAGGAATTGCCCCCACGCCCCTCAGATCGCAAGGGGGTAAGATTGAATTTTTATATGGTTCAATTTTTAGTCTTTTATTTGAACTTTCTAAGATTGTTAATGGTGTTATTAGAATCACAAGATTATCCAATGCAGTGACTGTATGTTTAGCATCTGTAATTGTCTTTCTGATTGAAACAAAGACAGAGCACGGTTATTGGTCTTGCTGAATAATCAAGCAAGCTATTTTGTTTTTCCAATTGTCTCTTCTCTTTACTGTATGATAATGCATGTGTGTCTTGACTTTAGATAATTTCCCTCTCTTTCTTGTTTTAACTTTTAATTTATCTCTCTTGTTTTGACTTTTAATTCGAGGTTCATGAAAATTATAAAATTATGTCAAAGGTTATCCCTTCAACCTAGGGAGAGAGAAATTTTCTGTGTACTAGGTGCAATAAGCTTAATTCCTTAAATAATTACTTACACCCTTTTAAAACCTAATTTCTTACTTTCTGAAATTTGAATTTTTCTTCTGATTTTTCAAGTGAGGTAGTTTATTGCCATTTGTGGAAATGATGTATTGTATTTGTTAGATTTTAGTTTAATTTAGTACTTTTCTTATTTTGAGGGAAATTACCCTATTTCCTACAACAACTTTGTCTGTACATTAGTGAAAATCGTGTAACAGAAGCAAAGGTTTAAAAGTTTGATACTCTGAGTTCTTAGTACTGGCATTGTTTTTCAGTAGTGGGCACTCTGATTTTGAACCCGTATCTGCAGTCATTTTTTTTCGAAATTGAGCCCAATTTTCTGAGACTTATTTTACCTTTTTCACCCTTCATAAGCTGTAATATGGGTTGTAAAATTTCAACTATTTATGCTGCTACTCTCTGTAGACATAACAAAACAAGCTTAAGATTAAAAATGGTAGAAGCATCTTCTGATGGTTCATCTTTCTTTGTTCTTGACTTGCTTATCTTTAATGTGGTCCTAAAGAGTATGTTGACTCAAAACAGAAAACAAGCAAGAGGGTGCACTTCGTAAGGAATCTCATACGTGAGGTGGCTGGCTTTGCTCCCTATGAAAAGCGTATAACTGAGTTACTCAAGGTTGGCAAAGATAAAAGAGCACTGAAAGTTGCAAAGAGAAAGCTTGGTACACATAAACGTGCAAAGAAGAAGCGTGAGGAGATGTCCAACGTTCTCCGGAAGATGAGGTTGTTCTATGTTCTTTTGTCTGTATTATGCATACCCTATATAATTTATTAATAATATGGCTAGCATTCTTGAATGTAGACTTCTTGGTAGTAATGTTTTTTGTTAATTTTGTAATTTTGTGCAGGTCTGGTGGTGCCGGTGACAAGAAGAAATAAGTCTTATTTACTTCATTCTAGTTTTCACTAGATGAATCAATGTTTTGATGGACAAGCTGTCTTAATTTTGTCTTGGTTCAGTTAGTTTAGTTTCAGTTTTTATTCTTAGATGTTTTATTTAATTGGTGACATTTTTCATGGAAAAAAGTACGATCGGCTTATTTCCTATTTGGCCAGAAATGTGAGTTAATCTTTTTTCAAGCGAACATTGCATTTGGACCATGTTCTTGTTTTTATTTATTTATCTATGTATGCCTGTCAATTTTTGTTGTGAAATTATCTTGGGAGTAAAGTCGGGTCCCTACAAAAAATAGTCCTTTTTTCAGATGAAATTCAAAAGAGATTCATTTTAATCTTTTTGAGGGATTAATGAGAGTTTTTTTTTGAATTTGTGAGTGATTACGATTTCAATTAAATGGATTTACTTTCAATTTTTTAGAGATTTTGAGAATAATTTTTTTCTGTAAGAGATTAAAGTGGGATTGTAATTTTTATTTTTTATTTGTTAACGACCCAGCTCTTGTCTTAAAGTTCCTTTTAGCGTTGTCAAATGGATTTTTGGCCCATAATAATTATAGTAATAATCTGTAACACAGCCAGGCGCAAGATATGGAACCTAGCATACCACATTGATCGAGTGATCTGCTATGGATTTTTTTATTTTTTATTTAATTTTATTATTATTATTTATTTATTTTTGGGGAGGGGTTGGGCTACATTGAAACCTATCAAAATATGTTACGAGTTTATCTTGAAACGTGGATAGGTAGGTGGTAAAGGTTAGTTGAAATTTTGAAGAATGATAAACAAGTAGGAATGGAAAAAAAAAATATAGGTAAAATAATTTCTCTCTTTAAAAGATATCCCTGTTTTCGTGAAGCATTAGCTAGTCTATTTCGTACGTAAATTCCAATATTTGATAAGAGTGGTTTCGGTTGTCGAATGATACTTTGATAACATGCACGGTTGTATAATTTGTAATATTTCTTATAAAGTGTCAATTAAAATAGTTTTCACCAGAAGGTTATATAATACCGATTTCGTAAGTTCTTGCACGTCTAATTATGGGCAATTTAACTGCATCTTGAGTATTCACAAAAAAAAAACTATATCTTACGATAGGTCTGACGGTCACACATAGAAGCCAAAATTTAAGTAGAAAAAGGCTGGGTTATCGTTAAGATAGGTACTCGCAGTTTTGGGGAAATAACTGGTGTAAATTTTAATTTGTTTGCAACAATTTTAATAATCTCCATCATTCATTAAACATATCTGTAGAATGTGGAGTGTGGATGATGCCGATAACCGGTCCTTCACAGCTGTAAATTGTAAGGAAATTATTTGACGGTAAAACACGGTACGAATGAGTATGTAATAATATGAAGAAATATGTGAGTGTTTCGAGTCAAGAGTGGTCATGAATCTCATGATCAAGTCTAGTACTCAGTTTGCTTCAAGACAATCTTGAAACTTGTTTTTTGGGTTTATTTCATACTTACATAAAGGAGATAAACTGCAGACATGTTTGAACTATAAAAGGCAACACCACGTTGAATTAAAATTGCTTACTATTCCATCATAATTCCTTCTGGTTTCAGCTATACAAAAATGACATGATTCACATGAATATGTTGTATTTTCCGAAATTCCCTGAATATGATAAAAGCACGGAAAAAAGGGAGCTTCTCCTAATGATCTTAAGTTACTCATTTGGTGTAACATGTCAGGTGCTGACGAGGGTGGAGAGTGATCATTGATGTGTAAGGGCACAGACAAGGAGCGACTTTTAGAAGTCTTCCAGCGGCGGGACAATGAATCGAATTAACACCCGAGGTATAGGACAGTACACAGTTGATGATAACTTATAAGAATTAATTGGTACTACCTATACTAACAAGATGCATCTATTTTTCGATAGCCCGGAACAGAAAAACTCCATAAGTGTGTTTGACTTGCAGTAATTCTGGGATAGGTAACATTTTGGAAAGTTTACTAGGAAGTGTGCGAGTGAGGAAAAAGCACACTGAACAATCTCGTGTTAATATATGGGATAGTCATTGATTCTTGAAGGCCCACGCCCTGAATCCAAGATTTAATATATATGTATAAAACCAAACACTTGGGCTGTAATAAGCTAAGAACTGTGATTTTATGACTGGACTATACAAGAGACAAAATGAGTGCTTCTGAACTGTTTTGTGTAACTGTGAAGTGATAACAAATAATAAACTATGTCGAAGCGCGTTAGCCTTCCAGGAAGACTTACCATATCTACACATTAGCACCACAAATATGAGTAGATCTAGATAAGAAATGTGAGACTAATAAAAATTTATCAGTTTTGCTGATTTTGTGGTATTGAAGAATACAAGTTGGGGAGAAAATAGAAGATGCTAATTACTAATATGGTTTATTTTGATTATTCACATCAATTGTAATGACTGCAATTCATATCTTTTTGAAACATTTGTATATTATGAACCATTTTTGTGTTAATACATGAAACTCACTAAGGTTCAAGGAAGGGTCAGACCCATTAAGAGGGTCCATAGTAAACAGTCTTATCTTGCATTTGTAGGAGGCTGATCACATGGATCGAACCTATGATTTCACAACACCAACGCTGTGCGAAGACTCCCCTCCTGGTCGCTAGATTGAGTATTATGGCATAAAAAATGTTATTTTATGGGAATTGATGAATTGAATATTGGTGCATATTTGGCATAGAATTGAATCCTTTGCGGTGCAGTTTCTGTCTGCAGTAGGATAGAGAGAGAGATATACAATTGAAAGAAACAACAATCTGCATTCAAATTTCAAAAAATTGCAAAACTTACTTTGTTAACTGTAACTTATTTTGTTTGACCAATCACATATTTTTGCAACTAAAAAGTTTTCCCTTCATCTAACATATATGAACTGAACAATTATAAATTTCAATATCAATATGATTTTATGTTAGAAGTTGACCACAATGTGTCACCAAAGAATCCTAGCTTTTTCTCGTGATCAATCAGTATCTTACATTTGGGTGATACCAAAGATTCAAGAAAACGGCAATCCTCGAGTCTAATCGTAAGTTTTATACAACTTGAGCAGATCTTAACCAAAATCTATTTTTTCTGTGTCATCCTAAAGACCACAAGAACCTAAATAATTGAGTACAAAATCTTAACCTACATATAGCCACTTCTCACCCTCCCGAGCTCTCACAGGAGCTTCCAAGATTGTAAGTTATGTCATGCACCAACACCCTGATTATGTTGCTTCCTGATGATCTTGAAACATCCATGCACTCTTGCAGGTCTGCATCACAGGCTATCAAAACCCATTCTTGATCATCATCCAGGTACTTGATATCAAATGTACCCACCTCTAGTTTCAATCTTTTGGCAACTTCTTCTTTCAATTCCACAATCCCACAGGTCAAAGAGACCCGAAACCTTATGATATCTTCTCTATATGTTGCCTTAATAGTCACATTCTTCATTTCTTTCCTAGCTGCAAAAGGTGTCACTGTTTTATCAAGAGTATTCATGCATTGCTTAGGAGCCAAATCAGAAGCTGAAGGATTAGTCCCACAAGCTTCTGGAACCAGATCCTCCAAAATGGCCTCTGCTACTGAAGGGCACAAATTTCTCAAGTCTTTAGAACTACCAGCATCCTCTACAAGCATTCCTCCAAATGGCTCTTCAAGTTCTGTTGCTACAATCTCAGGCATAGGGTAAGCAGTTGAACAGTTCAGTGCATTAGTTGGCTGCAGTGTTGATTCTGGTGATCCCCTTAGCACAGCACATTGCTCATTGATGGATGTAATGAATATATCTTTTACGGGTGAACTTTCATTTAGGGGACTACCTTGGCAAGAACCATGAGAAGTAGGAATTGTACTATCTTCACTTGAGCCACTCCCAGTTCTAGTCCTTTTTGGATCTTTTTCAACTTCCCAAGTAGAAACACATTTATCATGTATTACTTTCTCAACACTTTGTGTCCTTCCTCCTAGAAATTGATCTTCCATTCCAGCCTGTCTATTTGTTTCTAATATTTTATAGGCCTCCAATTCATTCTCTTTCAACTGAGGCTCTGATGGCCCAATGCTTAGTGAGGCTTGCTGGCTGAACTTATTTGAAGTAGAAGGCTCAGGAATGGAACCAACAGCAATGGGAAGTGGACTTGTTCTGAGAGAATTCAAATCAAATGCTCCTTCTGCACCTTGGACAGATTCCATAACACGCTTGAGCTTGGACAAGGAACGGTTAACCTTGTTGATCTTTCGAGATGGCCAACGCGATATCCCATGCTGCCTACAGATGCGCTTCATTGTAGTAGGACAAACTGTACAGCAAGAATATAGCTAAGAACAATATGTTTGAGCTACTTCTTTCTTTCCCTTTTTCTTTGGATAAAAGAGGTGCTACTCATTTTTTGTATTTAAAAAATAAAAAAATAAAAAATCAATTTGTATGTTTGGTTGCATATACATTCTTTGATAATCATATATCTCCATATAGCAGCAGATTCATATATACAAGTTAGCCAAAAGATGCACTTCATTGTAGTAGAGCAAACATTTGTATTCTTGGATAAATATATGTTTCCAGCAAGCAGCAGAATTATAAAGATAATAAACAAAAGTATCACTTATCACTATATTTCAGAGTATGAACATACCACCAAGGCTCTTTGCAGCATCTTTTAGACTCCCAGCGAAATAACGTTGCAAAACTTCGAGACTAATTGATTTCTCAGTTTTTCCACGTTTCCTCTCTGAGGGTTTCTTTATGTTTTTAGTGTCTAAGGAGGACATTTGATCAATGTTTCCACCTGCATTGTCATCAAGACTCCTTCCATCATCTATGTCATTACAGTACATCATTATTTGCTGTTCTGATAGATCCAGTGGCACTTCCTCCCCTATATTTGGTGAGACATCAGGCCTAGGCGGTGATTTAATAGATTGGGCAATTGGAATAGATTCAAGCCTCAGATTAACTCTTTCATTTTCTGCTTCAATAATTTCAATTGAACCATCCTCCTTAAGTTCAACACCAGCAGCAATCTTAAGACTCTGGAAATGCTGTTTCATTGTTGCCAATATGGATCCCAAAAAAGTCTTTTGTTCATCAAAGTCTGTGATCCTAGGAGGCAGAAAAAACTCTAATACATAATCATCATTTCCGGTATGCGAGCTTCGTAAACAGATTGCAAAACAGCTTGTTAACCCAAACATGAGAGCATAATGAACTAAGGGGTAATCAGTTTTGCAGAATTGGGTAATGTTTCTGCAGAAGCACATGCTATGGGACAAAAAAGCCCTCCCAGCAACCCCTTGACCTTGTTGTAAGTGATGCTCAACACAGGCCTCATGAAAACCCCATAAATGAGCATCTATGATATAGAATGCTATGTCAGTTGTAGACATGCAAACTTGCCCCATGCAACTACCATCAAAACTAGAACAACTTTTCTTTAGACCACCACCTTGGGCCAAAACAATCCGATGCCTACAGGGAACCCATGTTTGGGCTAGAGGTAAATTATGAGTTTCACACACCATTGTCAATATCTCCAAGATCTCTGATAATGCATTCTGGCGGCCTTCATTACAAATCTGGTTTAAAATCTTTGCCAAGTTATATCTGTGAGAATACAGGGGAAAGATATAGAACAACAAAAATATCTAGATATAACGGATAGAGATTCATCATGCATGACAGTAAAAATCACCTGAGTGTATGAATGTTCCAAAATTTCTGAACTCCTCAAATTTACTGCCTGCGAGGAAACTGACAGCAGGTGATTGGGGAATCTAAACATGTTTGTAATCACATAAAATTTCTAACATTCTACTACTTCAGGTAAATAATCTCATAAGCATTACCTTTGTGAATACCAATCTTGATATACTATAATTTATAATCAAACATGAGCAAACCATAAAACTTAGTATAAATAGCAAAGTTGAAAGAAACCCAACCTCAAGGGCTTTGCAGATTTTATCAACCTCAGGAGCATAGTTTATCTTCTGTGAAGTCATTATCAACTCCAGTACACCAACACATGACTGCAATGAACGTTCAAACACAGGCAAAGCCAAGGATCCACGAACATTGTAATTTTGAGCATGATCTCGGCGTGGATATTCTTTATTAGTATAATACTGAACATTAGGAGTCCATTCTGGTAATTTGTGCTGAAAAACCCGACCAGGAAGTCCCAGAGTTGCATCATTCTCCCCATCCACAGAAAACATGTACGTCAGAGAGACGGTTCTATATTGATGGAGTCCATTACTATGTGGATCAAGAACAAAGGGTTGACCTGAAGTTGTAAGCACATACCGATTACCATTCCTCACAGGTGCCCAAACCTGTGCCAGAACATTCTGTTCAGTCAACTCTTTGAAGTAGCGAAGCGCTTGTGCCATCCTTTCCTTGATTGCACAATACCCATCCAAATTTTCTAAAGGTGGCACAAGGGGTGGCAAAAGTTTTTTGTTGTCATCATTCTCCACTGGCTTTTCAGCTATTGAATTTGAATCACCTGAAAACAGTAGCTTCAGTTAGAAGAAATGAAGCCCCCACCAAAAACAACACAATACATGTTTAGCACCAGAAGGCATTGGAGAAGACTATGAAAACTTCACAACACCTTTGAGCTCAACATCATAGTACATACAGAACTTCCAAACGTAATAAATACTCCAAGAATCATTTAAAAAAATAAAAATTATAGCATACACAAGGAAAAGGTAAAAGCCCAACAAAGCAATTATAGACAAAACTCTGGCCTGTAAATATTAGCTTGCTTGAACACCACTGAAAGGAAATACATATATTTGAAGCCATGAAGCTTCAACCGTTGAGTTTAAAAAGAGGGACATGAAAGAAATTCAACTTCAATCTCATAAAGTCCATCCATATATCATTTAAGCCCTATAATCAAGTTCCTCAGCAATCAAATAGAGCTTCAAGCACAGTAATTGGCCATTAATTTATTTTTATCTTTTTTTTAAATCTTCAGCACATATAAACTTCGAAATAAAAATAGGCGAAAGAAAACTCCTGATATAAATGAGTATATAGCAAAAATCAATTCTGGAAATGTTACACTTTCAAATCAATCAAAACAAATTTACAGTCAACTGGGTATTAAGCAAGTCCAAAAGATGAATGAAAATTCCAAAACTCAACTCAAAAGAAAACCAATCCGAAAGTAACCAAAACATACAAGAGAAGATCTTGTTGCAATCAGAGAAGGCTGAAGCTGCAAGCCTGGCATGCCTATCATCTTCACCATCAGAAAAAAACCATAGAGGAGGAGAGGAAGGTTGGTCAGAGGGGTTGGAGAACAGAAAAGGTGACAAGGGTTCGGAGACAAAGGACAAATTATCTAAGCACCATGAACTTTCAAGGTCCAGATCAAAATCCATGGCGCACCCAGGTTCCTCTGGTGGCTTTGACTTGAGAGGAAAGTCTGGATTTCCTTCCTCAGATTCTGTCATTTTCTCAAGGTTCTATTTTGATGGAAATTTTGTCAGTGCAGCAGAGTGATAAATATTGGAACTTTGTGAAGATCAATTTGATAACAGCATAGAATAGATAATGATGATGATGATGTTGATGACGGGTAAAATTAAAGAAAGCATAGATAGTATAGTTCCGTGTCAAAAAATTTACAATGACTCTACCACTTGCAAGTTGCAACAATGGTTGAATAAAATATTCAATAAAATAAAAAAAAAGGGGGAAAAAAAATTCCTGTTGTGGCAACAACTACCACAAAAGTAGGGCACTTGCACTTGTCTATGTCTTCTTTATTTTATTTTATTTTGTGACTACATTTACAAACCAACCACTGATACATGCATGTGTGGGGGAGAGAGAACAAAAAAGGAAACAAAGGAAAATTTGCCTACGATTGTGCAGATATAGAAAGAAAGTGACAACTCGCTTTTGTGGTTGTAACAGCAGAAGCAGCAGTTCGAAGTCGTTTGTTTGACATGCACATGCATTTCCTTTCTCATTCATAAAAACGGGTGGTTGGATTTGAGTATGTGTCAAGTAGGGTTGGCAAAACGGGTAAACTCGGCTCGACCCGTCCCAACCCGCATTTAACCCGTAAAAAACACGTCGGGTTAGGGTTGGTCTGAAAAAATAAACGAGCCAGAAAACTCAACCCAACCCGACTCGAGCCGGGTTAGGGTTGGCTCGATAATAAGATCGCGGGTTGGCTCAAAAAAAGCTCGCGGGTTAGCTCGAAATGATGTCAGTGGGTTGGCTCGCGGGTTGGTTAGCTCGAAATATTGGCTCGCAGGTTGGCTCGCGGGTTGGCTCAAAAAAATTGATTTTTGTGGAACTAGTCTTATTTGTTCTCCAACACTGCTAAAATTATCAACACTGCCAAAAGGTTCCAACTTTGATCTCTTCAAAAGTACCCAGATTGGAAAAAGAAAAGATTGAAGTAACAAATCTTATAATGTCAACAACAAAGAAGAAGAATAATGAATCCATTTTCATATATATATATTGGAGTAAAATAAAAAAGAAAGATGAGAAATATAGAGAAAAGGGTATTGCACCTTGGGAGTAGTGGATTGCGTTTGTCAAGAGAATAGGCCAATAGACCCGAAGATGCAAGGTTAATGGTAACAGGGTGAACAAGCTATCCAAGGGGGCAGAAGAATCTTAGGGTTAAGGAAAGTGACAAGTGACGACGATGTGAGCGTATGACAGTTTTGGAGTTTTCATATTTTTTTAATACAGTCATATTATTATTATTTTTGAATTAAAAAAAAAATTCCAACTTGCAAGCTGGCCCGTTTGACCCACGGGCTGGCTCGTTTGGGTCTGGATTGTATCGGGTCGGGTTGGGTCGGGTTGAGTCGGGTTGGCAGCTCATTTAGGCCAACCCAACGGGTTGGTTCGTTTTTGCCATCCCTATGTGCAAGTATCCTAAGAACTAATTTAACCCCAAATGATTAAGTTGTTATGTGAGATTATATTAATGATTTTATATATCTCAACACGCTTCCCTCATATGAGAGTCCACTGGGCTTGAAAGGTGGACAATGCACAGGCCCACCTACCTGAAGATTGAACCCGGTGTACCGAGGCTCTGATACCATGTGAAGAATCAATTCAACCCAAAAACTTAAACTGTTGGGTGAAGTTACATTAATGATTTTATATATTATGTTGTACAAATCTTTTTTGTCTCATAAAACAAACAAAAACTATGATATCATAAAAGTAAGGAGGAAATAACAAAGGGTTTATCATCTATCATTTAACATGACCACAAAAATTTTCCTACACACACAACATTTTGTGGGACCCGCAGCAAAAAAAAAAAAAAAACTCTGACACGCAAAACGAATCTCTATAACATAACACAATCACTTTTCCTACAACATAACTCTTATAAAACTCAATAACTATTATTAAAGAAGAATTAAAAGAACAGAACACATCTTTTATTGTGTAACACATTAACTGTTTGTAGCAATGCGTCAACGAGAAAAAAAGATAGTAAGTTAGTGGTGATAACTAAAATGTTTCTTAATGACTTTAGTAAAATTGGTTGGATAGCTTAATCCCACAGAAAGCAACAATTATTATGATAATTAATCTCTTGTGCGTTTTCTGATATGTGCAATTAATTTTGGACCCTTGCTCACATGGACAAAGGAAAAGCATTGTAAATTCCCCACTTGTGTTGTGGATGCAGTGAATACGAGAGGACCAACTTTCCAATTTACTATTCTCTAAAATAGTGACTGAGGAAGTGGGAATCAGAAAGGAAATTACAATAAAATATAATGCAAGAAGGTCAATGTGCAACTGAATCAACTGAAAGCATCCAAAGAAAGAGGCACTAGTTTTTGTTTGATGATGGATAATGTTTGCTTCTTGCACGCTGCCACGGAATGACTATTTTTATGTTTTGCAGATTCAAAAAAGAAAACAGAGAGAAAGATGATTGAGATGTAATATTTTTTTTTTTTTTTAAATAAAGAGGGGCTAAGCTCGAGGAACAGAAAGAAATTACAAATCAGAAACTAACAAGCTAGACATATTTCTAACATCAGTAACTATAAGTTCCATCAACTGAGGAGGAAGATCTTTAAAAATCTTGCAATAGAGATTATTAGTCTGTCCAGCTTTAATTAACCAATGAGCACATTTGTTATTTTCTCTCTTGGTATGAATAAGATGAATAGTCCAATCTACTTTTAAGCATAATCGATTGAGATGTATACTTGTTAATATATATGATATTCATTGAAAAAAAAACAATTATTTGTGTTAATGGATCAGTAGTGTAAAGGACATTTGGATAGCGTAAATCTCCTAACGAATAATTAATTCATTAGCTTATTCATAAATAAATAAATAAATAAATGTTATTAATATTATATTTTTTTGACATTTTAAACGAGACATTGATTTTCCTGATAATAATGGAGAAAGTTATAACCAAGTAATTAGGAAGAAAAAGGATAATTGAAATATATTTAATCGCTTTATGTGCTGTAATAAAACCTAAATCATAAGCCACGTTTATGGGCTAGAAAATTTAGATATAACATAGTGAGTCCAAATCGAACCGAATGATTGAACATCGACTATTATAAATTTAATGTCCCAATCAGGAGCAGTTACGAAATCTGAATTCTCACACTCACAGATAAGACTTTGGCTGCCTTGCTGTCTCGAGGTTGAGGATGGATATGCTAGCTATATGTACCACTAAATAAAAATAAATTAATTATAAATTCATCAACGATGACTATTCGTTATTGTATGTCAATAATGTCTTACTACTCACTAACACTTATGTCGTTTGTAAGTAAAATCAAGGTAAACATAAATTGTATTATCTATATTTAGATATTTATCACTAAACGATAAAGTTATACTAATAAATTTAGATTTCAAAATTAATAATACTAATAAATTTTGTATTAGTGATAAAGTTACTAAAATGGGTACTGCCAAAAAAAAAATTACTACAATGGGTGACTCTTGACCTGGCTTCGACCGAGCCTAACATGAATTGGCATGCGGTGCTTTGGACCAGTATAAAAGTTTGAAAAATATCATAATTAATTAATATTATTATTTAATCTCTCTAATTTAAGTCTATCTAAATGTTATTTTAAAATAAATACGGTCAACGGATTAACATGAATAATTAGCGGTCCGAAAGTTATACTAATAATTTATGAACTCAATTTATATTTGATCCGTTATTAGCAAGCTCGTATTTGACCTAACTCATAATGGATTAGCTTTAATAAAATAAGTCTAATTACTAATGGATGACGCAGCATGAAGCAATATTTTTTGAAGTTTTACTAGCTGCCTCAAGCTCTTACATATTTCTTTGGATTTATGTTACATTAATGCAAAAATACACCAACAAGCACATAGTTCAACCGGTAAGAAGTTCTTACAGCTTTATCAGTAGAAGAAGAACTTTGTCATCCATACAATCCTACTTTGTTTGAATGAGACTAATCAAACAATAGATAAACCGATAAATAATATTTAATTATATAGAAGGGTTATATTTATCTTATTTAACATGAGATAAATTAAATTCCTACACACACATAATAAAAATGGATCACACTTCTATTTTTTCTCTTTCTAATTATTTATGAGTTCCTCTTATAATTTTATTTTACTAACATAAAATAATTATCTCTAATAATAATAATAAAAAAAATCCTACATAGAAAATCCCAAATCGGATAGAAATCTCATGAGATACTCCAAATAATTCTAAAACGAGGTGGGCCAAAATTGCTATCTCAACTTACCAATGATACACGCTCCACGATTATACGTTTTGCTACATTGGCAAAAATATTGTTAGAATATATAAACAATGACACGTGTTATTTAAAAATTAGAGAGAAAAAATAAATTATTCGAATAAATATATTTTAGTATTAAATTACAGAAGTAAATTAATGATTAACACTCGCCTATACACTTTGACCGCAAATAAAGTAAGTTGTAAAGAGAAGAAGAAGAATCAACTTTATGGAATCATATAAACCTGTATTTTAGACAAATCATGTCAGAGATTTGTTGGTGTTAAAATTTTGTATCAAGTTCAATTGCTAAATGCATGGAATAGCTTCAGCAAATACTACTTTAGAAAATCAAGAAGATATTATTTTTAAATTTTATTCTTATTCCGTGATATTCTTATTATGTAAAATAAGAGAAATGATTAATAAAGTAGAATAATATAGTTAATTTTTTAAAATTAAAAAAATTAATGATTTTCTTAAGATTTGAAAAAACTCTTAAACAATTAATATTAAAAAAAAAGGTGATAAAACCTGCACCGAATGGGATACTTCTTAGATGTTGCCACCCTAGAATCTCGGCTTTTTGACCCTTTTATCCCTTATTAAATAAAAAATAACCATTTTGTCCCTGTTTCAAAATTATACCTCACTTTACCCCTATTTAATCGATTACATAAAAAATTTAATCGACTAAGTGTAAAAAAAATATATTAATCGATTAAAAACCTTTTTTAATCGATTAAATATCGATTTCTTCAAGAAAATTGCAGAGGAAGAACCCACCACCAACAACTTCATAAAGACAACAACAACACACAAGAAA